ATTTGCTTCCGTACATTACGTAATGAAACTAATAAATTAATAAATTAATAAATAATTCAGAAGTAATCTTTCCCATACTAATATCCCAAATGTCAGAACAAACATCCAGGGCCTTTTTCAATTACAACATTAATTTTACACAAAGCACAGCCTCCTTCTTCTCACATCATTAAGGCGATTTCAAAAATGTCACAATTTATGAGACGTATCAAGCACGGAGAATTTGAAACAGACGGGGATATATGGACAATTTTCAGTTGAAATGGTCAACGCCTGGGACCGAGAGCACATACCAGAGTCGCTTGATAATCTCACGAAACGTGGCAAAACATGGCAATGAATATCACGCTTTGACGATCTTCGCAACTTTGCGATACCTTGTGGTATCTGCTATACATATTTGTATGTAATATTTTGTGCTTCGGCTGATTTTCAACCAACATCTGGGTTACTCCAAATTCCATTTCTAGAAAATGCAAGGTGTCCAGCCCATTGCTCTGGCTGGAGAACGCTCGGATTTATCAAATAGCAAATAAGTTTTACCGCTTTTCTAAAATGTTTGATACTACGAGTTTGGCTACACATAATTGATGCCCATAAAAGAAAGTGTAATTGCGGAACATATCCCTTACCAACGCACGCAGGTTTCCCTCCAAACTTTTTTTTCTTCCCTTTCCTGTAATCTATCTCCCTTCCGTTTTTCCGTAGTGCGTATAGTGTGCGATATCGTACAACGGTTCTTACTTTCTTTCATTTTCTAAAGTTCCTTTAAAAAGGACAGAACTCTCCTTTTTTATTTTCTCAGTGTCTTTTTATGCGTTGTTGTGAACAACTATTATTAGGTTGCGTTATTTAAAAATATAGTTCGACGAACATAATCTTCACTCTTTACCCTCTTCCGGGCTGCGTGACCTTTTTTCACAGCACTAGTCTTTCTATTAACGTTAGTCTCTCAGGTATTTACTCGACATCTTGGCTTACGTCTTCCTGCAGACGATACTTTCATCATATTTGTGCCTCCTTCTGACGAGCCAAACACTGTTTGTTTAACAGACTGTTATACAACTGCCTAAGGTCTGTCAGATTATCGTCTTGAGACCTTTAACTAGATTCTCACTTTATAAACTAAGGTTAGCATAATTTCCGTTTGACGCAAACTGCCTGCTATTATTTGACCCAGACTACTTTTTCGTTCACTCCTACTTTTCATCGCGAAATCTTTTGTCTCTTATTCGACTTTATTTTTTGTATTGTCACTTTAGATCTTTTGTCTACCGTATTTCGCTCTCCTACATTTCCTAACCATATAACATAAATTTGTTTATAGAATATTCACATAAGTCATGTATGCACAAAGAAATCCAACTTCGGATACACTACTCACTCAAGCTTTTCATCCGCCGTCGGCTGAGGATCAATATGCCCCTCAAAATTTTCTTGAAGCACAACAGCAACAACAGCAGCAGCAGTTTAATCAGGAACAACTGAATCCGTCTAATATGGTTCAAATTACCGATACGAATAATTTTGCTTTTCAGACCTTTGACAACAACAACATTCTCGGAACTTCTTTGCCCGCAGATTGGGAACAACTCTGTGGAAGTGGAGATATGGTTGGTTTGGTGGGTAATGCTAGTTTTCCTTTCGTCGGTGGCCTCATGTCACCGAATTTTGTTGACGACGACGGTTCGTGGATTCTCGATCAAACCGCGGAACAACAGTCTCTACAATTGAACCAACAACAGGAGGTTCAACAAGTTCACACCCCACAATCACTATCAAACTCGCCTTCCGATACAGACTCCAACGAGTCCAACGTATCGTCGAATCCTGATGATCAACTGCGCGCTCAAACTCCAGCTCCTTTGCACAAGACCATCATACCAAACTATCTGACCATCCGACGCAGAAGTTTATCCGCCGATAACATACACGCATTGGCAAAATCACAGCAGGCAGTTAACCGTAAGCCCCTATATCATTTTCCTACGCAGCAACACGCAGAACAGATTTCATTTGATAGATCCGGCTTATCCAAGTCCACGGTTCCTTCAACCATGAGTCTCGAGCAAATGCAATTTTTCCAAAGCACAAAACAACAACCGCAGCAACAGGGTCTCCGGATGCAAGGTGCTTGTGTCCCTCAGAATGTCGTCAAAGTTGAAAGTCAGAACGGCAATCCGATCAGCAATGATAACGACTGCGACCGTAATAACAGTCACCAACAAAATAACTCCCGAACTTCGAGCCCATCACCGCGGATCACCGCCACTGCCCCTACCCATCGTCCTCATTTGTCCAGATCCGTATCGCATCAGCAGATCGGTCCTATTAACCATACGCAAAGGCTCAACGAATTACAAGCAAGATTCAAGGTTAAACTCGACAAGAGAAATCAAAGGAGCATGCCTAATATTCAATTAGCGGCCGCAGCTCACGGTTCCATGATTCAATCACAAAATTCAATTCCTCTGAAAACCAATTCGTCCAATGGCCCCATTCCCGGTGCTGTGTCAATAATGGAGATGTCTTCACTATCCACGCCTACCACCCCAACTTTCCCCAACGAAAAGGCTAGCGCTACCAAACAGACACTCGCCCCTCCACCACGACGTGGCCATATGCGCAAACGATCATTGTCTGCACCAACGACGCCTTTCCCGAATATTGCGCAACCATTGCCAAATTCGGTGCCTCTGCAATCAGCCCCAGCGTTTCCGCTCAATATATACAATCGTAGGCCCAATGCCCTACCCATTCAGATCCAGCGAAATCCCAAGCACTCACACGCTACCACAGCAATGTCGTCCGAAGAGTATCAGCGCAAATTAGACGAAGAACTTGAAAAGGTTGATTTTGATGATATCACCGTGAGCGAACTCAAGGAAATGCTACGTCAGAGAGGAAAACCTGCAACCGGAAAAAAAGCAGTCTTGATGCAAAGACTTCAAGAGGAGGTGGAATACGTGAAAGCTATGAAAAACAGTGGCAACCAACAACCGAAGAATAACAATAATAGTAACGCACAATTTTCTCAGATGATCTCATCACCGACATCTCCATCTGGAGTCTCATTACAGAGGAGCATTGCAAACTTGCACATATCTAGTCCGCCAACCCACTCTAGACGCTATAGTCCTTACGGAAGCGTCAGCATTCCAGGCAGTCCCAGGATGATGCCCAGCGGGCTGGGTAATGGGCGATCTGGCTTCAATGGAGGAAACGTCGCTTATGCGGAAGGAGATGAATGGCAATATAATATTGGTATACAACCATTAATGTCGAACAATATGGATGAACAATCTCACTCAATTATGATGATGGAAGCGCAATCGCAACAGTCGCAAGACATGTACGGACAACAGCAGCCTTCATCTGCACCGCCCACAACCACCGAATTTGACCAGGCCTCGTCGATGGCCACAGAATTCGTTGATTTCATGAATCCCATGTCCATGAATTTAATGTCAGTGGGATCTGATATGATGAGAATGAGTGTTTCTGACACGGACAATCCATTGCTCAAGCAAGAATCAGATTCGGAAAACAAATCTGATGGACATTCAACGGATCCATTAGTTTCATCAGCGTCTAATGACGACGTAGCCGGGATCCTTGCACAACAAGCATTGGAATTTGGTTTTAATTCCCAGCATCAATTACAAGGCGAAAATATGATGATAAAGTCCGAAGGTTCGTATTATTATTTATTATTATTATTATTATTATTCATTATTAATGACAATTTTCGTTGGTCGATCGGAACATGAAGTATAATTAACGTTTAATTATTATAATTAATTATTATTGTTTTTTTTTTTAGATTATCTTAATTATTCCGCGCAGCACATACCGATGCAACTTGAGCTTCAGCAACAAGATGGAATGTCATTTAGTGGGTGGTGAGCACACTAAGAATAGGCTGGGACCTTGTTGAAAAAAAATTTCCAATAGCAAATCTTGACATCATATTTATTAATTTATATATATCACATACATTGACAGATAAGTTAGCTAAGTATATCGTATTATATTAGTATATTACTCCTTTGTATTTTAACTGGTGATTTCCTTAGTTTTGTGAATTTTTTTAAAATTGTATTTTGAAATCTGTTTTTTTTTTTTTTCACTGTTTTTGGTTTCCGTTACTCAAGATTTACTCACGATATGTCAATCATATTGAAATGTAATATCATTGTTTAACCAATCTATTGGTTGACGTGTGACGCAGAGAACATCGTGATTTTGTTTTTTTCCTTCCAATGGTTAGGTCATTGTATAAGAGTCGTGTATCTATCTTCTCGACCTTCGCATTTAGCCACACGCTTTTCCTTACCCAGAACCGCTTTTTTTTTTTTAGTTCATATCATTTTTCTTTCTTTTATTTTATTATTCTTTTTTAATTTTATCTTTTTTTTATTTCTCGCTCAAAAAAAACCCTTTCTTGTAGTATAGTTTTTTCCCTTTTCCCCTGTTAAAAAACCATTATTTTTCCCGGTCCACTTAATTACGCAAATAGATACACAAATTTTTTCTTCCTCTTTTCAAAATCATATTGTAGTTATTCAAAAAAAAAAAAAAAAGGAGGTGAAAAACAAGAAAAAAGATGTGCGAATTTTTTTTTTAAAAAAGTAAACCAAAAACTAAAAAAAAAAAATTCAGACTCTTTTGATCGCCTTATTTTCCACGTGGAGTTGATTAATTGCGCCGTGCGTCGAGTAAACACATAATAAGAGTGGATTCAGTGCAGGGTTAATAGGTGCATCTCTACCGTTGAGTCTCTTTCTTCCTTTGATTCTCCCGGGAATATTTGCGAAGCGAGAGAGGATGGAATTTCTATATTTTTTTTACATATATTATCCACATATTGAAATATTAATAAAAAAAAAAAATTATATATTTATATATAACGATAAAATATATATTCGTATAACTACTCTAGTATTAATTTCATATTTTCTTTTGGTAATTCTTTATAACCTAGAGTTTAGGGTGGATTTAGTTTAGTTTTTTTAATCTATTCAAATATTTTTTTTTTACTTTTTTTTACTTTAGTCATAATTACTAATTTTAGAAAACCTGTCTGTTTCTTTTTTTTTCTTCTCTAATATGAATTCTTCATACAAGATTTACGATTTACGATTTTTAATACTTACTCTAATTTAGTTTACATTATTAATAGCCGAATTTAAGCGTCATAATAATTAGTATTGGATATGTATGTACAAGGAAAATTACAAAACCCCAAAATAGATTATTCATTAGCGTACGATACCCAACATCATAAATTCAAATATTCTACTATTACCCATTTTAAAATAAAGATTCTGTTTACAATTCTTTCCTTCCTTGATACACGTTCACCAATGTATTACTACATTCATCCGTTCTTTTCCGATTCCTAAGATGGCTAATCACAAGAAGATTCTTTGCAATTTGTGCTACCC